TTTTGTTTTCTTGTTTTTATATTTTAAAATATATCACCTCATTTCCCACTATAAAATTAATGACTGGAACTCATCATGAAAGGAGGTTTATGCACTCTAAAATATTAGGTGTCACATTAACCTAACCAAGTTATGTGTTGAGTAAATGTAAAGCAATTTACTTAACTCGGTTTAGTAAAGCCACTTACTTAAGTATATTCAACACTTCATTTCATAGAGTGTGTGTAAAAGAACTTTTACTTTTACTTGCAAGATTATTGTGAGCAGTTGTGACTTTTACTTAAATACTTTTCTTCTTATCAGTGAAATAAATTTTTACCAAAGTCCTTGGGAAGGTATTTTTGCTTTGATTTTTTTTATAATTTTTCAAGCATTTTATACACCTCTTATCATTGAAGTGCTATTAGTTTTATTGTTCATTGTTCAAGTTTGCTTTTTGTTTTGGTCCTTTTAAAGGGTGTGTGTGTGGGGGGGGGGTATGCATTTTTCAGGTACATTGTTCAATTCTATGTTAACTTCAGTCAGTATGGAAATGCTGTAATGTATATGAAAAATTAATTTGGGTACCATTTTTGACACTCCCACTTCAGCACATCTTCACAACAATGCTCTGTGGGGAGGGGGCTTGGCTGCAGACTGAGCACCAGGGAGGAGCTTTGGGTAAATGGGCAGTGCTTTGTACCAGCAAGTGTTTAGGCAGCTCCGCATGCTTACCATATTCAAGGATTTCTCAAACATTCATGAATGAGTCAACTCAACACTCTGTGTATGTTTTTAGGGGAATAACATTACAACTTGATATAAATATAAAACAAGTTGATTATGTGTCATAACCCCCTTTAAAACCTTAGTGGGCTCTGTTTACAAAAAGGCAACTTGGCATTTTACTAATGAGTTTAGAACCATGACAAAACAAACAAACAAACAAACAAAAATTATGTTTGGAAAAATACTATAAATTTGGAACATTAGGAGAGTACTGTCTAAAACACATTTTTTTCTTTAATGAACCAAAACTTCAAATTATCAACTTTCACTGTGAGTCACAGTGAGGTTGAAGCTAATCATGATCCAGCACACACACACACACACACACACACACACCGACCTTTGAGTAATGCAGTGAGGATGGCAAGGTCAATGTCCTGATGACCCTCTGAGCCCATCCGGAAAACTGTTATCTGGGAGACAATGAGAAAGAGATAAAAACAAAGAGAAAGAAACACGAGTGAGTGTCTGTTTTTTCTGCACAAGCAAAACTGCCAATAAGTGTCGTTTCTCTTCTTCATCCATTCTGCTGTGGCTTCGGCAAGTGCAATGAAGGCTCACAGCACAAAGAAATTCAATCACAAAGAGAAATTCCGCTGCACTGTGTGGGAGTGCTTTCGTTAGCTGGATTAAACTGTTTCACTACAAACACTGCAGCTCAGAGCGAGGAGACAAGAGGAATTGATCTGAAGTGCTGTACTACATCCTTCTTGCTGGACTCTCTTCTCTTTTCTCCAGAGCAAAGGACATCACCAGCAGGCTCACACACAGCTTGTTCACTGGGGAGGGGAGGGAGGGCAGGAGGGAATTGGCTGTGCTGGAAAGTGAGAGAAGCAGCAATAAAAGCACAACAAAGGAGCACATCAAATGAATATGAACTACTGGTGCTCTCCATTACAATAGAGGGTTCATTACTTTTTTTGTCATTGTTTCTGACAATTTGAGCACAGAGCTGATGGGTAATATTATACTTTATAAAGTCACGACAGGTTTTAATCTGTGAGGCGTCATTTCGGTGAACCATTCACATGTTGTCTTAGATGAAATAGCATTACAGTGAGAGGGGAACTGGAGAATTAAGGCAGTGTTTTGGGATTTTCAAAGAGCGTCCAGGTGCTCACGTGTGTGGACACAGATGCTCATATGTTTGTATGTGTGAAGGGCACCTTGTGGGAGCGAGCTGTGTATTGAAGAATGTGTGATCTGAATACGTAATGAGCTATTCCTCTAATCCTTACTTCCATCCATCCCCTCCCGCCTCCGTCCCTGCAGCCCCCCCTGCTCTAAATGGCTTCATTTTGCGGAGCTTCAGGAATCTGCAGGCTCTGCATCTGCATTTGTTGTTGCTTCCCCTGGGCAATGCCGCACCGCCAACCCTCCTCTTCCTCACTCAGTCTCTCGCTCTCTGTCTTTTATCTTTTCACAATCAGTCCAGTCACACAAAGGAATTAAATGTTGATTTACAAGATCATTCGCTTTTGACACGTTATTTGTATCTGATGACATGCTAATTCAATCCAAAGCCTGTTTTAGAAACTAAAATAATTTATTGATTTCTTATCTCTGTGTGTAGTGTTGGCATGTCGACCTAATCAAAGGAGTTTTCTCCAGATGATAATAAAGTACAACAAGATGTGAAGGTAGCAGTTATTATCCAGGGACAAAAAAGATTGTTGGTGAAAAGTGTAATTTAATTGTATTCTCCTATCCTGAATCCCACTGCATGTGTGTGTCTGTTTTGATGCATGAACAGCAGCAAGCTCATAACGCATCTTTATGCCATTTGTCTTGCAGATATTGCAGGAAAAAAAGCACATTTCGAGTACCATCTGGTGAATTCAGGGTGCAAAAGTCATCTTTTACATTAATCTTTTCTGTGTTGTCATGTAGTGTCTTGTAAAGGGCAAAGCACATGCATGTTAAACGTGACTTTTGTACAGGATGAGGTGGATAAATAAAGAAAAATAGAGTCAAAGAGGAATTCAGCTGCTGCACAATGTTAGTAGCTGTATTCTTGGACTTGTCTAATTTATTCGACTGGTACAGATGGGATCGTTGTGGTGATTCCTGCTCGTTTTTTTTTTGTTTTTTTTTTAGTGGCTGACTGGGGAGTTCCTCGGCTTGCACGCTCACACAGACAAGATTTTTGTCTTCCCTCAGGGACAAGGATAGATTATAGTGTGGCATTAGAAGGATGATTGTAGAATATATTCACATTTATTTCTACTCTCCTTTCTCAACTCAAGCTTTGAGATGTAGATCCCCCCCCCCCCTTCCTCCCATCATCTGTTACAACCACTTATCTTGCAACACCTCCCACTCTGGCATCCTACCCCCAGCCTCCAATCCTGTCTCTGTTCTTCCTCTCCTCTTCGTCACTGCTCTGTTCCTCCAATTATACCCTCAAGGTGACCCTGTGGCTATGTGCTACCTGTTATCACAGAGGCTGTACGGGTAGAAAGTTGAGCAGCACATCCTCTGTGACATTGCAATTGTGCTGGTTTAATCTCAACAGTCCCATGGAGAGTCATCAATAAGCGGGAGTGCAATGCAAACAGACAGCTTCTACCTCTTTTGTATCATTTCATCCACAGCAAAAGGGCTCAACAGTACTTACTGTAAACAAATGGGCTACGGCCTGTGTTGGATATGAAAAGGTAGCTTCTCTGTTATCGTTGACCACCAAAAAGGCACAGGCGGACAATAATGTTATTGCCCATGTGCGTCTGTCTGATGAAACCTGCAGAAACTAAACAGTAGGTTTACATCTGCAAATGTTTCATTTTTTTGGCGTCAACCAGACAAGCTGAGCTTAAAATAAAAAATGGCTAAAACTCAGTCAATTTTACACACTTAATGTTTGGTATGATGTTAGCAGAGGATGATCACCACATATTCTGAGCGCTAACACAAAGATTTTTGTTTAAAATTTGACATTAACCATTTGGCATTGACTCTGACAAAGAATTTTAACTAAACTTTCAGGAAATAATCATCGAATGTCTCTCAATCCTTATGGAGTCCATCCAATTCAAGAGGGCAATTTTGTGACTGAATTTAATTACACTCTTATATTTAATTGTACATTGTAGCGATGAAAATCATTTCCTTTAAACTGGGAAAGAATCAACAAGTCTATTTACTTTTAGTGTTTTTTTTTTCTAAAACTTACTTCCTTGTTTACTATGACATCATATCTGGAGTGTGACCAGGTTTTCTACAAACATTGTAAGAACACATGATGCAGGGCATTTTGTCGTATCTCTTCGACAGAAGGGTTCGGTAAGGATAGACCACAGCACTGTGATATGATAAACTTTACATGTCTGAGAATTCAAGACAGAGTACTGGACGGTTTCCTGCACCTGATTCAGTTTCTCATTGTAGACGTTTCTTTTCAATAGTTCAGTTATATGTATACTGTGTGAAGATTTGGTGGGATTGTAGCTGAGACTCATTCACAACACATACTTCAAATGCTACTCACTACAACAAGCTGTTTGCTTTAACATTACAACTTTAACCAACTTTAACTAGTGTTGAACTACTTGAAACCGGTCTTGTTCTTAAGACTGGTCTCAAGACCGGTTTTTGATGGTCTTGGTCTCGTCTCGGACTCGACAGCGTTTGTACTCGGTCTTGGAATTACCACTAAACAGCCATATTATTGGCCAATTTATTAGTTAAAGTTATTGCTTTCATTGGATTTAAAATGTAGCTACTGATTCAAATCCAAACCTGACTCATTGCTAATGATGTATTTTTGTTACCGGCTGTCACCCATCCCCACTGTCTTCACTCGCATTCACTCCAGGAAAGTAAAAAGTGCTTCTCTGGGAGCGGAAAAGGATGTCTTCAAATTTTTAAGTAAAAAAGTTTGGCTACTTTATTCATAAATAATACTGTAAAACAACAACAACCAGGAGAAAGCATACAGCAAATTGTACATTCAGCAGTGCTTCACTTTCAGAGACGATGGGGACAAATTTTATCGTCACTAACGTTAACAATCTGCCTCTGTAGCAACATTCTTTCCTCTGCCCTCAAACAAAGATTTTGTCAATATTAGCTCTACATATTGAGTTAGCTAAAGTGGGGAAAAAGTATTTAGTCAGCACCAATTGTTCAAGTTCTCCCACCTAAAAAGATGAGAGAGGCCTGCGATTGAGATTATGGTTAGACCTCAAGTATGAGAGACTAAATATCTTTTCCCCCCACTGTACACGTGTACAGAATACTCCATTTTTAGGACACTTTTTTTCTCCTGGTCTTGGTCTTGTCTCGGTCTCGCCCTCCCTTAGTCTTGGTCTCGACTTGGTCCAAACCGAATAAGTCTTGATCTTGTCTCGGTCTCGAGACACTGTGGTCTTGGTCTTGACTTGGTCTCGGGTTAAGTGGTCTTGACTACAACATTAACTTCAACATTACCTGTTAGAGGCAATCCTGATGGTCTGTTAGCAAAATAAATAAATAAATAAAACAAAAAATAAACAACTGGAGAGGCTTCAATGAAACTTTCAAAGGGTTAACATTGAATGTGCATCTACTGATCATCTTTTGGAGTCAACCCAATTCAAGATGCAAACCAACATTAGTCAACATAAAAATGGCCATAGCTCAGTCAGTTTTACAAGAAATGAGCTAACATTTGATAAGGTCATATCTAAAAGTCAATAATAACACATAATCTGAGGCATCTTCCTGTATTGCGTGAAATTGTGGACAATGTGACCAACATGACTAAAACTAGAGTTTCTCAGCACGAGATAATCTTTGTCTAAAATTCTGGCACGAAAGGTGATGAGAGAAATGCAGTCCTTCAAGAATGCTAGGTCTTTAATTGTTAGTTTTGCTTTGTTTTTAGCTTCATGTTCCAATTGGATTTTGAGATGAATGAAGAACAGAATTAAAGATAAAAGAGTGATAAGAGGTGGGAGACGACTGGAGGTCAAGTTTAACAGGAATAGACATAATGAAGCTAAAAACAAGGAGGGAGGTGTGTCTTCAGTAAATAAAAGCAGAAGGAGGAAGATTAGGCTTTGACAAATTGGCAAAGGGGGGCACGAAGGCATATCATTTTTTCTTAGTGTGACCAGCTTTTGTCGAAGGATTTCTCCATCTTCAGGGGTGGGAATTCATTGCCTTTAAAGATGGAGCACAGATGGAAAACGGTACTTCACACTCCAATAAATCAGACTCATTGCACAACATTCATCATCATTTCACGGGCAAAGACCCTATTGATGTTGCAGCACTCACGTGCAAAAAAAAAAAGAAAAAAGTCAAATGAAGAGTCACACTCTTGCCTCTACAGCCAATATGTTAACAGTTGTAGATGCTCAGGACTAACAATCTGCTGAGGGGTTTTGTGTTTATATGAGTTATGAACACTTTATTCGATTTTTATTTCTTT